GGTCTGAGAGCGGGTCTCCAGCGCCCCCTGCTGGCGCCTGAGGGAGCCCGGCGAGAGCGAGCACGACGTGGGTGGGGCCGGCCCCACCCCGCGGGAACGGTCGCCGCTTTGTGAGGTGGCTTAGCCTCCCCGGGACGCCGGGGCGAAGGACCCTACGTCGGGAGGCGGTGCTTGGCGCTATGGCACGCCCCCAGGGGCGCTAAGCTCCGCCCCGAGGCCGCGTTGCGTGAGAAGCGGCGCTTTGTGCCACCGCGCAGCAGCTCCGGAGAGATGGGCAGGGCATGCGTCAGGAGGCGGTGCTTGGCCGCTCGGGCACGCCCCCGGAAGGACCGGGAGGCCCCGCCCCCCCCGGGCCGGCGTTTTGTGAACCGCGGCGCTTTGGACCCCCGTCAGCGTCAGGAGGGGGCGTTCGGCCGCTCGGCCCCGCCCCCGGGGGCCACGCCCCGCCCCCAGGCCGGCCACATGCGAACGACCATGCTTTGTGCCACAGTGGAGTAGCTCGAGAAGGGTGGAGGAGCTTGAGCCCGGGACCGGTGGCCGACGAAGAAGGGACGCCCCCTCGAGGGCTGGGCTCCGCCTCTATGCCGGCGCCCAGCGAGCCACACGCTCCGGGGTGAGTAGGTGCTCGGCCGCTCGGGTACGGCCCGAGCAGGGCTGGCCCCGCCCCCGCAGGGGCCGCCGTGAGTCGCAGAAGGCGGGCGCTCTGAGGGCGGAGCAGCAGCGCAGGTCAAGGGGCGGTGCTCTGCCTCTGGAGGGCCGGTCATCTCCGGGCCAGGGTCCTGTGAACGACCGCCCCGGGCCTGGAGAATGAAGGTTCCACGCTAGGCGCCCGGCCACGCCCCCGAGCCGAGTCCCCGCCCCCGAGCCGAGTCCCCGCCCCCTCGGTCCTGGCCAGGCGCTGCACCTCGTTCTGCTCTCCCTGGTGGAGGAGGGAGGACCCGTGCGTGCTAGGAGGGGGCCGGCCTCGCCCCAGGCTGCACGGCTGGAAAAGCACTTTGAACCCCACTCCGGACCTTGGGGATTCCCACTGAACTGTCAGTCTTTGAGGAAATTCTCCAGCTTCTCCACCGGGACCCCTCCTTTCCAGCTAACTCTCGGATCCCCCAGTAATGGCTAGTTCAACAGTGTCATCTGCTATTCACGTTTTGGTGGACTCTTTGGGACCTCTAGTTTCCTCCTGGTCCTTACGACCCCTTTGTTCCCACGTTCCTGGTCTCCACAATGCTGCATTCCCTCCCTGCACCTCCAGGCATTTCTCATGCACCACATTAACTGAAGTTCAGTGGTATGGTACCTCCAGCGTGGCCAGTTCACCTTCCTCCCCAACCCCCAAGTCATGCAATCCCAAATTTAAAGATTACCTGAAACCTTGGGGTTACTTTAACAGGACCTGTGCCAGCAAGACTAAAAATACACCCAGCCCTTTCCCAAGCCCCGCCCCCCAATGGTACAAGCTCATGATCTCAAGCAGAAACAGGATGATGTGATCTCAAGGCCAGCCTGAGCTACAAAGTGAAATTCTGTCACTAAAAAGCATACACCCTGTCGGGCTGGGGTGGTGCAAGCCTTTAATTCTAGCACTTGGGAGGCAGAGGCAGGCAGCCTGGTCTACATAGTGAGTTCCAGGACAGACAGGGCTACACAGTGAAACCCTGTCCTGAAAACAACAACAGCAAAAACACCCCAAAGTCTGGCATGGTGGTATGCACCGTTAATCCCAGAACTCTAGAGACAGGCAGGTGGATCTCTTGAGTTTGAGCCTGGTCTACATGGTGAGTTCCAGGACAGACAGGGCTACACAGTGAGACCCTGTCTAGAAACAACAGAAAACATACAAAAATATAAACACCAGTCTGAAGGTCAGGTGCAGCTGGGGAAGCAGAGGAAAGAGGTACAGAATGTAGACCTCCTGTGCCCAGCTGGATGTCCAGATGCAGGGGCGACACCTCTGGTGGTCTACAATCCAGGGAATCTACAAATGGGCTCTGGCTCTCTGTCCAGCCTCTAGGCTGCTCCCCTGACGATTTTTCTTGTCTTCTGTGAGGAAGGTCACACCCTTCCTCTGGCCAGTCCATCTCCTTAGAAAGCCTTGGCTTGACCCCTCCCTACCGCCGAGTCTCTGGGTAGATGTCCAGCTTCTGCAGCTTTGGGCAGTGGGACGGGGAGAACCGGATAAAGGGGTCCTCACTCCTCGCCTCACTGGCAGGCCCGGAAAGTGCTGAACTCTGGGAGCTCTGGAGAGGATGATGTAGAGGTGGGCCGCTTTTGAGGCTCTGAGTTGCAAAGATGTGCATCTGGGGTTGCCACCAAGTCTTCCTGAGGCATTTTCTTTGTCCATGGAAGAAAAAGAACTGAGTGATTTGGGGTGTAAGAACCTGTGAGTTCCCCCTATTCCAGGCTCTCAGGTACCCTCCACCTCTCCCCACACCCATACCCCAACCTGCAGTGGCTCTGCTCCTGCTGCCTTCTCTCTGCTGAGGAAGGAGGCCAGAGGCCTGGGCTCAGCTCCCACTCTGTCACTCCCTAGCAGCCTGACATCACTTGAGTGACAGCTCTCCTACGCCTTAGTTTCAGATGATAGTATCCATCTCCGAGGGGCACTGTGGGCCTGAAACAGAGGTCCATGACGTGGATGGCACCAGTAAGCCAGCTCACCTTTGTGCTCACCTATCAGGGCTCCCCTAAAACCTTTCAAGAACTGAACCCAGCTGATTGAGACAGATTGAGGTCCCCTCAGAGCTTTGGTCCTCCCTAACCAGTGACTCTAGTAAGATCCCACAGGGTCTTTGTTAAAAAAAAAAAAAACATACAGCCGGGCATGCCTTTAATCCCAGCACTCAGGAGACGGGCAAGCAGGTCTCTGTTAATTGGAAGCCAGCCTGAGCTACATAGTGAGTTCCAGGCAGCCAGAGCTAAAGACCCTATTTTTTTTTTCCCCAAGACAGGGTCCCTCTGTGTAGCTTTGGCTGGCCTGGAACTCTCTCTCTCTCTCACTCTGTAGACCCGGCTGACCTTGAACTCACAGAGATCTCCCTGCCTCTCCCTCCCAAGTACTAGGATTAAAGGCATGCACCACCACCACCACCACCACC